GGGGAGAGCTGCGCGCCTTCCCCGCGGAACCTTCCAGGGCGCGCAGGGTGGGTGAGGAGGGCGTTCCGTGGCCTCTCCTGGCTCCCCCCGAGTGCAAAGGGAGCTCTGCTGAGCTGCCCCCCCTTCCTCCTGTCCGGTTACCTCCACACAATGGATGCAGTGTGTGCCTGCAGCCTCCTCTGCAAGAATTACAGTTGCATGGGCAGGCACTTTATCCTTTCTGATCTCTCCTCTTCTCCCCCCTTCCCCGAGGGTTTGTTTTCCAGCAGGCTGAGTTCAAAAAGGGCACGAGATACTGCTGGCAAACAGTCTGGCGCTAAGCAAACCTTTTTAGTCCGAATCACATGGGTTAGACCCAACTTTCCATTCACGTGCAGTGCTACCTGTGAGCTCCTCTGAATTTCACGGTGGCTGAGCTGCTAGTGTAAGTACCGGGGCGGGTGAGGTCGGAGCTGAAGCCCGTGACGGAGGCCTGGAGCACAGCTTGCTGGGGGTAGGTGTGTGCTGCCGGTGACGCTAGGGGCATATCCAGTGCAGACTGCTGGAGCTGCTCTCCTTCAAGGAGAAGCTCTGGCTCCGCCAGACAGCAATCTGAGAACCAGCTGCCTAGGAGACTGCCAAAGACACCTTGTCTTCAGCCAGAGGTGAAGCTTGATGCACAAAGTCCTTGGGCTACTCTGAACAGCGTAGCTAGATAGTGCGGTTCTGTCCCTGAGCGAGAAGCTTTTTGGCAGACGCTGCCTCTTCATCCCTTGCCCCCAGCCTCCCTCCCACCCGCTGTCTGTCCTGTCCCCCTTTCTGTTCATCTCCCTCCTGCAGTGAGCGCATTTGGAAGACAGTTTGAGTAGCATCATGCTGCCTTTTTATGGTAAATATGCTGCAAGGGAGTGCTGTAGGAGGGGTGGCTTCTTAGAGCAGCAGCGAGCCCATGAGACTGGGCAAGACTTAAATTGCCTCGTCTTATGGTGCCCATGGGGTGGGGTGGGGGGGTTGTTGCAGGAGGTAAAAGGCTGGGCTGAGGGGCTAGTTTCTCTCTCGACTGCACCCGGAAAGATCTCTGAGCAGCTTCTTTCTTAGCACTTACCGTCAGTCTGAGCGCTGAGGGCTCGTGCTTACTGGAAATCCACTGGCTGTAACGGAGGCCAAATAGTTCCTCTGCTCTGATGATGGGGGGTGCAGGCTCAGCACTAATGGTAGGAAAAGAAACGAACCAAAAAAAGCAAATGCCCTGCCAGCCCATCAGTGGGTACAGTGCTGAAGTCCAGCTTGCTTGGCTGCCAGCGCCTTGCTCTTTGTTCAGATCTGCGAGACCTGACTGTTTCGGGGGAGCCTGTCCCCACGCAGAGCGCTGCCGTGGGTCTGGGGCAGCTCATCCTAAGTAAGCCTGGCTCAAAACATACCTTGAAGGGTGCTGCAAGGGGTAGGTGAGGATGTGTTCTTACAGCACCTGCCAGCGTTAGAGCTGGGGAGGGGGATGTGGGAAAATAGACTCAGTATGTCGTTGCTTGGCTGTGCTTTGGGAGGTTGGTAGTTGTGGGGGAAGTGGATATTCTCCCCAGCTCTGTTTTCCTGCTGTTCTTCCACTGCCAGGAGGGAAGGAGCCTGGCAGTGTCGGGCCAGGGATGTGGATCTTGCCGGCTGCAGCTGGAAGGGAGCAGTCCTGGCGTGGGACGAGGTAGCCCTTCTGGCCCTGTCTCCTCGGGGCATCCCTTCCAGCCCTGCTCAGCTCCCGCACCGTGCTGTGGCCATCTATTTTCTTTGCTTCTGGATGAGCTCAGCCAATACTTCGGGATAGCTAGGGATAAATTGTGACTTGCTCCAAATAACCTGTAGACAGAGGCATGCCCGGGGAGTATTTTAGTCCCTGACACATGAGCCCTGCCTAGAATGGAAGGCCTGATTCACTTGCGGTATCCCGCTGGGAGGCCAGCACCTTTCAGGAGAGCTCTGAATCTCTGTCCAAATGAGGAGAAAAGGGCAAGGAGGCACACCAGGCTCTGAGCGTGGCGTTGCTGGTCGTGGCAGCTTGCACCTCTGATATCCCACGGCCCTCCTGGGGCCTGGAAAGGCAGCAGCTGGCAGGGATGTCGGTGGTGTAGTCCTTGAGTTCCTGAAGTGTTGCTGACGGGTCTATTGCTTGAAGCGGTAGTCTGAGGGGAAGGGAAACCCAGGTCAAACAAGCTTAAGGGGCCTTTTAATGTGTGTTTTGACTTGGAGGCATTTTGTTGCTGTTCACTGTCAGGGTGCCCCTGCCCTTCCCAGCTTAGCTGAGACTTGGCATCTCAGGAGAGACTCTTTTTGGCTTCCCAGGAGGAACAACATGTCTGGCAATGTGTGCAGGGCCCTGCTGTGAGATAGTGACCGCTTCCTGCCTCTGGATGCCTTTTCCAGAAAGCCATTTGGAGCCCCAGGCTGTTACTTGGATAACTCCCTTCCCTGATTCATCAGCAATGTGCAAGCTCCCCTGTAATATCCCAAATCTGCCTGTGCTGAGAGGGAGAGGCCATATCTTTTAATAACAGCATGATGCAGTTGGAAAAAACTTCTGGACATGCAGTTCTCTGGTGGCCCTGAGTTAATGGAAAAGCTCCGAGGGAGAGATGCAGCTGGGCCCTGAGGGAGAGGGTGCTGCAACTGCTTTTGGGTGAGGGGGATCAGCTGCTTGTGGTTTCTGATCTGCCTTTCCCCCAGCCTCACCCAAGCAACCCTGACCCCCCTTGGGGGAGGCAGCAGGAGACTGGTCCCACCATGCCGCAGGTCTGGCGTGTGGTGCCGTGTGAGTGACTGCCGGCGGCTGGGCTGCAGCCGCTGGCGCGGGCTCCACCCTGGCGATGAGGCTCCTTGCCACGTGCGTGCGGGAAGCCCGCGTTCCCGGGGACGCCGGTGGCCATGCTGTGGCAGATCCCGCTGGGCAGCGCTGCCCTGTGCAGCAGGCATGTGCCTGGCTCTCCCTGCTCCATATTGGCTCTGCTGAAGGTGTCTTTGCTTTTCCAGCTCTTTGCTATCGAAACTACTCGGTCTCGTTGCCTGCAGCTCCTGCTTCCTGTCCCAGGTGGGTGCCAGGGGCTCGGGTCGTTCCCGGCGCACCGCC